AAAAAAAAAAAAAGATTAGGTCAAAAGAGTGCTACAGCAAAGTGTGGTGAAGAAAGTAGATGGTGCCCGGCTATCAATTAGAATAGTATCTGGGGTCTTAAAGGCTTCTATTAAAACAAGCAGCCACCTAAGCAAGGAGTCATCTAAGTCCACATGGAAGAAGCACACCAGCTTGTAGGATCCAATGATGACAATTTGAACATGGGGAAGGGAAAAGTATCAGGGCAAAAATTATGAACACCCAATTTGTAGAAGGCTATGAAGGGCAGGGGGAGCCCAAAACCCATCTGCAAAGTATCTAGTCAGATGGAGCCACTGGCAAGAGGCTTTACCATCCATAATATCAGGGAGACCATTGTAATCTTGATTATGTTGGAGCACAAGTGATATTTGGCCTTAGGATTTGATCTCCCTATGGACCTGACCTAAATTTGTTCTTGGTGCAAGTATCTCTTACTTGTTCCATGACAGAAATTTCTTCCCTGGCTTTTTAAATGTTGATGGGAGTCTTTTCTTTCTTACTCATTTGTAATTTTGCCTTTGTATCATTAATATTTTATCCTTATCACCCTATTTCAATTTTATTTTTTATTGTTTCTGTTGGGATTCCCAGTTTGTGAAGCACAAGAGGAGCGGATGCACAGTGATAATAACTGATAAAAGGGTTGATGGGGAATGTAAGTGTGGGGGGTGGGTGACAGCAGATTTTGAGAGCAAACAATGAAGGGGAGAGGGGAGAGGAAGCACTAGAACTGATTTTGATTTTAAAGGCTATTTAACTATGGGATAGAGGGGGATGTTCTAAAATTGATATGGTAATGATTGTACAATTCTCCTTCATATGACTGAACTATTGTATTGTATGATATGCAAATTATGTGCCAATAAAACTGATGGAAAAAAAAGATAATGTCAAAGAAACCCAGTGAAGTAGTTCGACTGTCACACAGTGTTGCCACTGAGGCCCTAACAATAACCTTTATTTTCTACCAGTTCTGCATTCTGTGTCTCTAAGATTTTCTTTGAACAGATAGAAATGGATTCTAGACTTCCAAAACTTTGAAACATACAATACTTACAGTACTTAGCCCCATCCAGTGCTGCCACTGCTTTTTCCAAGCAATTCCTGGTGGGATTCCCAGAACGGCTATATTCAAATCCCTGAAGAAAAGAAGCTCAAGGTCACCCTAACAGCTCACAGTATGACGTCAGAGCTCGAATGCAAGCACCTCCACAACCCTCCTGGGGCTCATCCCCACATAAGGACAGTCTGTTCCTCAGACATGTCCTGCGATGAGAGCCGTGCCGCCATGTGTGACTGTCATGATGGGGGTCTTAGAAGGCAACCAACCCAGATCACAATTCTGGGTCTGAAGAGCTGTGTGCCAACAGCTTTGTGACTTAATCAACACTTCCAAAAGACAACCTCATTATCTATAAAATGAGAACGATAACACCACAGGCTGTGTATTCTGAAAATAAAGGATAGTGTATACTAAACGCTTTGTATGACACCTAGCAAGCCGAAGCCACTAGGTAAAATGATAGTCTGTATTATGGCTTTAGTTACTTTGTAGACTCACCTTTATCCATTAATCTAGGGACATGAGGAAGAGGGCTATTGCATGAGTTAACATAAAACCTAACCAGTCTGTGTTTCATTTCCTACGAAATAAGTAATGATTATGTTTATTATCCAACAGGAAAAAACAAAGATTCCCCAAATGCTCAAATTTCATATTTTAGCTCTATGAAAATTACTCAAAAAATGGGATGTGATTCTTAGCAAGGAGTACATACTACTTGGAAAACATATGTCCTTTACTCCTTTTACATGTATGCTACTTTTCTATCATCAACTGATTTCATCCTCGTGTACTGCTTTCAGGAAACTGAAGGAGCGTCAGGGCCAGAATTCAAACCTAGGACTTGAACCTGACTAAAAATGCTCTAATTTTTCCCCCTGCTGCATATAAAGGAGCCCTAGTAGTACCGTGGCTACATGTTAGGCTGCTAATGCCACGCTCAGCAGTTTGAAACCACAGGATGCTCCTCGGAGAAAAGATGTGGCTTCTCGCTCTTCTGTAAAGAGTTAGAGTCTGGGAAACCCACCAGGGCAGGTCTACCCTGTCCTATGATGTCACTCTGCGTCAGAGCTGACATCATGGCAGTGAGCTTGGTTGTTTGGCTGGCTACATACAAAGGAGTTTCTCGGTAAAACAGTCAAGCATTAGGCTACTTACTGGAGGTGTGGCGGTTTAACCCACTCAATTATGCCTCAAAGAAAGGCCAGGCCTTCTGCTTCCAGTGTTTCTCTCTCTCTCTCTCTGCTTCCAGTTTCTCTCTCTCCTCCCCCCCCCCCCCCCCCCCCCCCCCAGCCACCGCGCGCGCGCGCGCGCACACACACACACAGTAAACACCTCAATACCATCAAGTCAATTCTGATTGACAGCAACCCCATAGGACAGAGTAGAGCTGGCCCTGGGGGTTTCCAAGTCTGTAACTCCTTACTGGAGTACAGAGCCTCATCTTTCTGAGAATCCTATGGAGTGAAATTCTACCGTGAAACATGTGGAGTCACCATAATTCAGCCACTTGTGTGTGCGTGTGTATGTTTGGTATATGCTTCACATAACTCATAACAAAACAGTAGTTCTCCATCCGTTTCTAATTCAAATGCTGCAAAGCATTGGCAATATTTATAATATGAGGTTTTGTTACTTTGTTTGCTTCCTTGCTTTTTGTCAAGCTTAATACTCATAGGAGCCCTCCAGGGCCGAGTAGAACTATCCCTCACAGGGTTGTCAGGGCTGTAAATCTTTACAGAAGCAGATAGCACATCTTTCTCCCGCAGAGAAGCTAATGGGTTGGAACCACTGACCTTTGAGTCAGCAGCCAACTGCTCTCCCCACTGAGCTACCCAGCTCCTTGTCAAACTGAATAAATACCTTTATAGGATTCCAGGGTATCCTCATCACACCCACCATCATCTCTTGGCTATTGCGTGCAGCTAAATTCACACAGGGAAACTGCATTCATATAGTGACAACCAGAGAAAGGTACTGGAGTGTTTCTGGCAGATATTTAACTTTGCAAAGGGGAGACAAAGGAGTGATTGATGAGAATAGTGATCAATCTGCACTCTCGAGCCCATTCAGTCACTCTCCAAAATGAACTAGAAATCAGAGGATTCCCATTCAGCTTTTCAAATTCCCTTTACTATTATTAGCTGTCACTTTTTTAAAAGGTTTTACTAGTCCTGGTGGCATTGTGAATGCAGTTAATTATTAATATTATGGCAAATGGTTAACTTTTATATTTAGTTCCAACATTTTGACAGCACTGATTAAACTGAACCACAGTAAAAAACTGCATACTTGGAAGACAGGTTGTTTATACACTTTGATTCCAAAACACAATAACTAGAAGAATCTTAAACCAGCTACAGAAATGCCCTTAGAAAAAAAAAAAAAAGAAATGCCCTTAGAACTGAAATTACTTACTGGAGGGCAGATACATATAAACTTGGGTGAAAGAGAAGGCAATATACAATAAGAAGGGGGGTCAGCAAAACAAACAAACACCTAATTATGATAAAAATAACAATTTTAAGGGGAAAATTCTGTATTTCACACTGCAGGGGTCACTGATGAGATTCTTTTTATACTCCTTGCCGAATAAAAAATTCAGAATTCAAACCTTGTTGAATATATATATAAACTATACCTTACAAAACACAGGGCTAAATTTAAGACTTTTCCTAGACTTACATAAATACACCAAAGTGGTCTGTGAACCATACTCAAGATCAGTACTTAACACAGTTTAACTGACTCCTTGTGAATCACAGCAACTTTTAAATACTTCAAGATTCATAATGTGTGGGGGTGGGGATGGCAGCAAAATCTATGTGATTAACAAGGGGGAACTCTCTACACAGCTCATAAATATGTATGACTCTGGATCAATGTCATTTTTTAAAAAACATCTAATAACCATCCTGCTCTCTGCTCAGGTTGTTAAATACTACACGATGTACCACTGAGCACTTAAGCACCATGCAACTATCTATTAATCTCATGTTGTAAGTGCTACTATTATTCCCATTTACACAGGACCACATTGGGTAACTTGTTCCTGGTCACCAAGCTCAGAAGAGGTAGTGTCAGAATTCTGACAACATAACTCACATTCTTCATCACTAAGCCACCTTGCATAAATGATGCAATGGGCTAGATTATTGCTAGCATTATTGGAATAATCACAGTGGTAGCCAAGTGGCTACGTGTGGTGGGTTCTAGAGCAAGGACTGAATCCCAGGGTCACCATAACTATCTGTGACCTTTAGATTAGCGACTTACAATCTTAAATCTCAGCTCTCTGATTGGGAAAAAAAAATGAGCATTAGTTCAGACTACAGTAGGTAGTTCTTACCACTTTAATATAATACATCTAATACACCGGATAGAATACATCTACGAATGTATCTAGCACTATATCTAGCAAATGCTCAATAAGTATTAGTAACTAATTACAGCAACTTGTAGTGTTGTTCATTACAAGCGGGTTAACTATCAGATCCTTAGATTTTGTTCATCTGGCTATACCTTTGTAATTTTCGCTGCTAAAGATAATTCTAGAACGTTATCGGCCTTGGTTTCCAATTTGTCAAAGTTACATGAATCCCATTCCAAACTATTTGACAATTTGTACAAACTGCATCTTCCAGTCTGATTTATCAAAAGATGTAATCACTGGATCAGATAAAAAAACGTTATTGGAAGGAGTACTACAGATAAAGAAATATCCTTTCAAGATGCCTTCCTAATTTATAAACCATATTATAGATTACCTGCGTGCCTTTTAAATCTAGAAGCCATCTCTCGTTACGAGCCGAAATCGACTCGACGGCCTTGGGGTTGGGTTCTTTCCCGCTCCACCCAGGCCGTCCCAGCTGGACCCCCAGCTCACCGAGTGCTGGCCGGGCGCGCCCTGCTTGAACGTGGTGGACAGGGAGATCGGAGGCACCACGGCGCGAGAATTCCATTGCTCCGGCTCCTGGCCCGCGTGGATGGCATCGGTGGCGAAATGCGGAAAGCTAGGCAGGAAAACAGGTCGGGGGGCGTCTTTTTTCTGCATGCTGAGCAGCTAAGGAAGAACAAGGATAAAATAAGCTAAGAAAGAACAAGGAAAATAAAATTCGGAAACCGCGACGCCGGGAGTAGCAAACAGAAAGATTAGGAGGAGAAGCCCGCGCTGCAGAAACAAGCCAAACGCCGCACGCACGCCAGAGCGCTGGGCTCTGAGACCGGCTCTTTATTTGCGGCCCCGAGCGGGCGCGGTCGCCCCTGGGCGGAGACACGGCGGCCCAATCAGAGGAGGCCCCGACGCGACCTCCGCTCCTCATTGGCTGACGGCGGAGGCGTTGCCTGGAGCGTCGCGGGGACCGCCCTCCCCGGAGCCGAACGGGCAGGGAAGCCGGAGCCGGTGGGTCCACGTGGTGCCGGTCTCGGCGAGAGGAATTCTGGATTTCCGGCTCAGGAGAGGCTGCCGTGCGGCTTTCTGGGTCAGCGCGGGTCCCGGTGTGACCCGAAGGTCGGAGGTTCTCCGGAACCGTGCAGAAAGGTGGCTGTGGTGTTGAAAGCCAGCGACCTGTCAGCAGAGCACACGAACACCTCCTCCCGCTGCAGCCCCTGGCCCTGATCTTTTGTCCTGAGAGCGTGCTGACCGAGGCGAACCACACTGTGCCGCAAAGCAAGCTGGAGCATCCTTACGAAACCCGTGGCCCACGCTGCCAGATGGTCAATTGGTTTTTTCCTTAACCAAGAGGTCCTTTTAGGTACACTGACCTCTAAGGATGCCGCGCTTACCATAATACACAGAAGCGGCGCTCAGAGGTTCCTTAGTAACGCCCCTACTGTGATGAAGACGTCTAAGCAAAACTCACGCCACTGCCTAGAAGCTGTTCAATTGACAACATCCTTGCAGGAAAAAGGAAGCAACACGCAGCGTGGTGCCAATTCACCACTCAACAGCTCGCGTACCTCTGCCCTCAGGAGGATCGCTTCTTGAAAACCACAAAACTCGCTTTGTCCTTCAGAGATGCAGACTTTGACCTACTTCAAACGGTGGCTATTTTCAAGGACTTGAGAATTTAGGAACGTTTCTAATCCTGTGAAGTATCCATTTAAATATTTGAGGTTTTATTAAATCAATTAAGAAAAAAGGCGAATGAGAAATAAACAGACCTTAGCGATTTTCATTTTGAAAGAAATATGTGGGAAGAGGGATAAGGCAATTTGGTTTAAAATTAGCTTCCGGGATACTTTAAACACTACAGCGACAGTGGCAAATGCTCTGAGAGCTTTTTAAAATCTACCAAAAGTTTTATGCCTGGAAGAAATGTATGAGTCCAAAACACTAGTAAAACTAAAAACAAATAAACAAACAAAAACCACCTCCCTCATGTCATTTCCGACTCATAGCGATGCTATTTAGGTTTCTGAGGCTGTGAACCTTTACAAGAGCAAATCGCCTAATCTCCCCTGCACCTTGCCCCCCACCAGCTGATGGATTTGAACCAACCACCTTGAAGTTAGCAGTTTGACCTTTGCCTGACAGCTCACCATGGCTTCCTGTAAAAGAAATGAATATATATTTAGTTTAATGTAGTATATTTCCAAGTGTGTGTGAGTGTATGTGTGCATAAACAATGCCAACTGCCAACTACAATTCAGCTCAATGATACATGGGTAGATATTTTTATAAGGCATTTAGGGGTCACGAGAGAATAAAACAGTCCTAATTAGTTTAACCTCTAATTCTCATATTTGTAGCTAATCCTGAACTGCATTAATGTGGATACTTTCTTAAGTGTTTCTGTAATAAAACCTCAAAAAGGTGGCCACAATATAAATGCTCAAAACTGTTTAAAAATCATAAAGAAGCTTTATTGGATAGCAATTTAGTTATATGAACCAAGAATTAAAAGACCCATTTCTATGATTCACCAACTTCACTTTTTAAAATGTGTCTTTTATATGTAATCCTACATGTATGCAAAGACCTGTAGGATGTTTCAGCAAGGCTGTTCTTTGTACCAATATTTTTCATAAAGAATGGAAAGCAATTTACCGTATATCCTTGAGTATAAGCAGACCCGAATATTAGCCAAGGCACCTAATTTTACCACAAAAACTGCATTAAAAATGTGTTGAAAAACTCAGCATATACACAAGTGTATACAGTAATCATCTATCCATGTGACACTGGTGGATCTGTATGGTACAGTCATGGGATAGCAAATCTGCATGAACAAGGGGGAAAGAACAATACATGTCATGATCGCTCATTTCTAAGGGCCAATGCCACGCATGTGTTATGCTTTCACTTTTTCAAAGGAATATAAACTAGTGCATTATTATAGGTGGATATTTATGAGTTAATATGTATAGCCTCATATTAAATCAACACAAACTGCTTGTGTGACTGTGTTTTTGTTAAACAAACTCACTGTGGTAGTTACATAATCTGGTGTCAATTTGAGAGGATTACAAGTGAAGGGGTGGAGTCTGGCCTGTCGATCAAGATATAACCAATGAGACCTCTGTATGTGCATGGCCTTCTCCTAAGAATTCTGGAGATTTTGTATTTCCTCATTGGAGGCAGGAGACACTTCTCCTCTGTTCTCTCCCTGAGAGACTCTCTACTGACAAGACACATGGCATTCACTGCCTGGGAGCTAGAGAAGCCACATGGACCTACCCTGATGCAACCAGACCTCAGGAGCCGGAGAAGCCACATAGAGACTACTGCCAGTGCTGAGATGCTTACAACGCCACTGGATCCACAAGACTTCCAACCCACTGGCCTGGGATCTTGCTGCATTTGGCATCATTGCATGTATTTTCGTGAATCTGAAGAGGACTTTATAGATTGGCATCAGACATATGGGCTAATTTGGGACTTATGGACTTGATCTGGACTGGGCTGGGACGTTTTCTCAATATTCAATTGCTCTTGTATATAAACCTCTTTCTGATATACATATGAGTGTCTATGAATTTGTTTCTCTAGTCTACCTGGACTAACACACTCACTGCCATCTAGTGGATTGCAACTCATTATCAACTCAGAGGCCAGGGTAGACCTGCCCCTGTGGGTTTCCACTATTAACTCTGTATAGGAGTAGAAAGCCGCCTGTTGTTAGGTGCCTTTAAATCATTTCGAACTCATAACGACCCTCTGTACAACAGAATGAAACATGGTCTGGACTTGTGACACCCTCACAATTGTGGGAACTGGCCCATTGCTGAAGTTAGTGCATCAGTCTGTCTCCTTGAAAGTCCTCCTCTTTTTCACTGACCCTCCATTTACCAAGCATGATATCCTTTTCCAGGGACTGGCCACTCCTGAAAGCATCCAAATGTGTGATATAAAGTCTTGCCATCCTTGCTTCTAAGAAGCATTCCGGCTGTACTTCTACCAAAAGCAGATTTTTTGTTGTTGCTGCTGCTGTCTTTACCCAGGGACAAAGTTCACAATGGTTAGGAAAGAAGGGAGAATGGAACCAGGAAACACAGGGACAAAGAGGAATGCATGATTCTGCACTGAGGGGATAGCTATGGATGAGTTGGGAAAATGTGTATGAACTGTTGAGTGAAAAGCTGATCTTCTCTGTAAATAACCCTGTTTACAATAAGAAGTTTAAAATTTCTTTTTTCATGCTAGAAGCCTTACGGGGACAGTTTTACTGGTGGTATAGTGGTTATGCATTGGGCTGCTAACCACAAGGGCAACAATTGGAAGTCAAAGCCCCTCCAGGGGACAAAGACAAGGCTTTCTACTCCTGTAAAGAGTTACAATTTCAGTTTCAGAAACCCACAGGAGCAGGTCTGCCCTGTCCTACAGAGTCACTTTGACTCCGAATCTACTTGATGGCAGTGAGTTTGAGTTTCTATAGGTCACTGAAAGGAATCATGTGTGACACTTTCATTTTCAAGTGAAAAAACAATTTTAAATAAATTTTTAAAAAGCTGATATTCATATGACAGAACCAAAAATGAGTCAAATCTGTACTTGGCATGGTCTCTAAAAATAACGAATATATTCAAGTCCTATTTTGGCCCTCATGGACTTGTTTTACTTTCCTTTACCTTTAACCTGAATTTGCATATGAACAATTGGTTATGTTTCACAGTCGGCCCCTGGCTTCTTTTGGACTGATTATATTGGATTTCTCCATAGTCTCTTACCACAGATAGTTAATTTGATTCCTTTGTATTTCACCTGGTGATGGAATATTACAGTATATAGTCACTGTTATATTGTTGAAAAAGTATTTGCAATTAAAGAGTCATTGACAATTTATAAACTATCAAGGGCTCATGAGGGAGGGGGGAGCAGGGAGGGAGGGGAAAAATGAGGACCTAATGTCGGGGGTTTAAGTGGAGAGAAAATGTTTTGAGAATGATGTACAAATGCGCTTTACACAATTGATGTGTATATGGATTGCGATAACAGTTGTATGAGCCCCTAATAAAATGTTTAAAAAAAAAAAAAGAATAAAGAAATTCACCAATGTAAAACAAAAAAAAAAGAGTCATTGATCTTGCAAAATTCCATTAGTTTAGTTTCTATCACCAAGGTCATACTTTCCAACTATTTATCTTTCCTCTTTGGTTCCAACCTTCACATTTCAATCACCACAAATTACCAATGCATTTTTACTGAATTTTGGATTAATTTCAGGATGAATGAAGGAGCCAAATGTGTCCATTTTGATTTCTTTATCATTGGCTTTAGTGGTTGGTTGCTGGGTAAAGTTGAAGAATAGGTTTCTGAACTAGCTTTCTTCAGAAGTGTGTGGACAGTATCCTATCATCTACAGTAATGCACTACAAAATGGAATTTGAAATACCTTTTCTTTTTTTGTCTAAAATAGAGAGTTTATTTGCTCAATATACCAAGTAGTCTGTAAGCATTGACATGAGAAATATACGTAAACATTCAGATCACCATAAAACAGTAATTTAGTTTAAACGAAAGGAAATCCCTTTAAATGTGCTAACAGCATACACCCAAGAAGAATCTTCAGGTAATTATACACTCCAATAAAATAAAGGGTAATAAGTTAAGTGGGAGTAAACTTGTGAATATTCCTTAAAAGAAAACTCTAATTTTATTAATGCATGCCATTTAAATTCTATAACTAAAATCTCAACTAAGTGCAAAAGGAGATGAAGAAATTAGTTATCTTTTTTGTTTGAGTGGTCTAGCATA